GGGAACAATAATAAGATGTGGTCCGTAATTTCCTTTGAACTCCATCAAGTATGCAATGAGCGCCATAACCTGGACGAAAACATCTCAGACAAGCCCGGACCTCAAAATACAAAGCTAACCTGTACAGTCTTTCCCAATCCCATTTCATCGGCAAGGATACCATTTAGTCTGTTATTGTACAAAGAAAGCATCCATTGAAGACCGACCTGCAAAAACGATCAGCGAAAGAGAAACTTACATGGACCAGCACTCACCAGCTGATAGTCACGTAATATTCCCGCCCGAAGCATTGACGGCTGCCTCAATATTTGCTCGTTCACTGCATGAGCCAGAGTATAGTACCTACAACAAGGACACAAGCATCAAGCATACAGACGAATGAAAAACCAAAAAGACTCAATCCTTACTTATTTACAGAATTGGATGTAGCACAGTTCCAGCTCCTCAATGCTACAGCTTCACTCGCTTGAGCGGCAGCACGTTCAACTTCCTCTTCGGAAAACCCCTGCACAAAATTACAAAATATGTTAAATATTAAATACCAGCATTCCATGGTAGCTTTCGTGAACGTACTTGAGATCGCGCAGAAGCAGCAGCAGCTAATGCAGCTTCTTCTCTTTCCTGCTGAGTCTTGACAGACGATATCTTTCCTCCAAGCTTGTGAAGATAATCTTCTGTTTGAGACAAGAAAGATTCCAGGACCTCAAATCGCTGCTGAGCATCACCGGGAATTTCTTTCTGCTGCTTTATCAACATCGCCCTGTATGCATCGACGTCGTTGTTCTTTAAAGCTTCCATTCTCTTACTGCGATCTTCGTCTTTCCTTTTCGAGAACTCTCGTAGAAGTTTCTCGTGGAACTTTGCAATACCTCGGTTACGGTTGATACGAGAATCCCGAGCAGACCAATGTGCTTCAAGGAGCTTCTTCCGCCACTGAAATATGCCCTTGAGATACTTTTCCTTGCTTGTCTTTTGCAGCACCATAACTTGTCTTGAAATCTCCATCCTCTGACGCTCGCATAGACGAACAAACTTCCGGTAAGCTCTATCACCCATGGCCATGATCTCCTGTTGCTGTTCCTCGATTTCATTTCTAACCTTCCCTTGCATCTTGAGAAGCACTAACTTCCTCTGCTCGATCCGTAGCTTCAGCTTGAGTTCAGAAGGTACGTTCAAGTTACCATCCGACAGTAGCATTTCAATGACTTTGAGCTTCTTAGCCTTCTTCTTGCCAATTATTCTTAACCCCTCCTGAAGTAGAAGCTCCCGGACGTCGTATTTCAGGGACGCTGGCGGTCCCCAAACATTCGGAGTAGGAAGCAAACTGGCCTCCGGTTTCTTACCAAGAGGAGGGAAGTCGAATAAAGGACCACGGTAACGCTTGCTTGCCGGCGTTTTGCTAAGTAGCCGAGAAGTGTTTGATTGCCGAGTTGAAAGATCGATCCCATTGTTTTCATTCGAATCCGCCTGCTTCTCGTCCTCGACCACAGACTTAGTTGGCACCACCTCTTGGACACTTTTGAGAGCTTCACTCTGTGAGGACGCTTGCTGCATTCCTGAGCCCTTCAAACTGGGTTCTAATTCTGAGCCACCATCTTGAGTTTTAACTGGAGATTCACGATGCGATTTTTCGTCAGCAGTTTCGTTCAAGACCTTCGGCTGGCTGGTTTCGGGTGGAGGCAACGCCAATGCCCCTTGTTTCTGTGGCGGGACTCCTAAAGGAGTCGGAGTTATAGCACGGATCATGTCTGATGTGAAGGAACGATCGCCACGCTGAAGTTACAAAACAAAAAATTAAGTTTTGCGCGAGAAGGTAAGACAGATACGCGTACCTTTAAGCGACGGAAAGCTAGGATTTGGGCGCGCAGTACCATCAACTGCTGGATAGTGAAGCCAACAGCCTTCACAGCCGGTTGAGCATGCTGAGAAGAAGAATCATTTGCAGGGGCTGGTGCTGGAGCTGGAGCTGGAGCTGGGGGTTGCTGCTGCAAATGCTGTGACGCGACCATGGAAACCGGGGTTTGGTTTTCCAGCAGAGCTCTGGGATTGAACTGGTGCTGTTGTCTCGGATGCATCGGAAATACCGGCGAAGAGCTGTTGTTCACGTCCGGTTTTGTCAGTCCATTTCCTAGAGTGGAGGACAGTTGTTGCTGCTGATGCTGCTGAGGAAATCCTCCACGAAGATTGGGGAGCAAGTCAGTGGCATGCCCGAAACCAGCAACGTTGGAAGGTGGCGGCTGCGGCTCTTGTTGGTCCGAAGAAGCTGGAGAGATCATCTGCGTCCCCAGTCTCAAATGCGGAGTCTCGCTGGCAAGCTTTTGTTGCTGCTGCTGCTGCTGCATGGCGAGCATGCGAGCTTGGAGCATCTCCGGCGACATGAACTGCTGAGGAGAATTGTTCCGGGGATTGGCATCTCCAGTCCTCGGCTGGACCGGCGAAGAGCCCACCAAACTCTGTGGATTCTGTCCGAAAAGAAAAGCCATGGAGCTGGGAACTCGCTGTTGTTGGAGTCCTTGATTCTGGTTCCCAGGTGGAGAAGTTTGCTGTGGCTTGGCAGCGGCATCACTACGAGACATCTGCTGGTGTTGCTGGGATAGAGCACGATCCTGCGCAGCAGCCATGGCAGATTGGAGCTGCATAAACTCCTGGAGCTTCATATTGTTTGATCCAGGCGCCGCCTTGCTTCCTTGCTGCTGGATAGCCCTCTGCGCGAGATGTAGCGCATGCTGGAGATAGAGATGGGATTGGAGCTGCCCATCCACGGCTGCCTGCTGGAAGAAAAAAAAACCACACCACATTGTAAATCACCGCTCTTCTCAAATCCTCTCTCCAAAGAAGCTTTCTCCTGCCAAAGAAGCTTGGAAATACCTGGCCCTGGTGCTGGAGGAGATGCGTCTGCGGCCACGCCGGGAGCGATCCAAATGGAAGACCCGCGCTGCCGGAGACGCTAGCAGCGGAGGAAACCGACGGATCGACCTCGGAATTCGGCGCTGCCGGAGAGGCGGAGCCGCGAGCCCGGAGCGACGCCGCTCCGCCAAGGACGCCATGGCCATGGCCGGGCGGAGGAGGAGCTGGAATCTGCTGCTGTGGCTTCTGCATCATACCCTAGCCACCGGAAATATTTCCACCGATCCTCGCCTTCCTCGTGTTCCTCGGCCTCTTGCGCCTTGTTCTTGCCAGGATTTCGCTGTCTCCACGGCACGATCCGGGCGATTTGTTCGTTGGAGAAGAGACGCTGACTGCTCGGCTGCGGAATCTAGAAATCCAGCTCTCTAGCTCTAGCTGCCGCTGTAAGAAACTCTGCCCACCGCGCGATTCTTCCAAGAAAGAATGCGGTCTCGAAGAATTCGTGAGAAGCAATTCTTTGTTTTTTTCCCCTCTTTGCTGTGATCTGTCGTCCGGCACTGATCTAAACAACTAGACGCGTCACATTGCTGCTGCCACGGTGGGCTCCGCATCCGGCGATCCCGCTTTCTCCGCCATCGCTACTAACCCTAGCCAAGCTTTGCTCGTCACTGTAAATGCCCGTCAATGTCTCGCGTCACAGATATTCCACGAATCTTTCTCGTTCTGTGTCCAAGCTCTTTCTTCTTTTTCCATTCTATTCCTTCGGGCTCGTCTCCTATCACTTAAGAAGTTCGTTTCTTTCTTCCCGGAGGAGAGATCTGTGATGACGTAGAACTTGGAAATTAAAACACTCAAGCGATGGCTGTGAAGAAAAAGAGGAGCTTTGACTCACACACACTTACTTCGATTGCCTGTGCCTCTTTTTCTCTCATCCCAAAAACCTGTTTTAAGTGGATGAGCAGTGGCAAAACGAAGCGAAACGAGGAGCCTTGACTCACACTTTGATGGCGGCTTTTGCCTCGTCTCCTTTTAGCAGCAAGTGGCACTCTTGTTGCGACTCGGGCTTTTCTGACGTCCGGATGAGCTCTTTCATCTGTTCCTGGGAGTTGAACACAAAGTGATTAGAATTCGACGAAGCTTACAGGACAAAGATCTTACTGTGACGCTCGGGATGCTGTAAATGCTGTGATGGACCATGGAAAGTCGCTACCTTTGTTGATCTAGCTCTTAACAGTAGCATGCCCATTCTTTAAGAACAGACGTTTCTTCACGCCATATCTTACTTTCGTATGTAGCATTCAAATCTGTAAGAAACAAGAGAATCACATTTCCATTAGAACTTTGATTTCTTACCAGTGATCCTTCTTCCTGCCAATCCAATCGTTCAGAGCCTGCTTTGAAACTTTCAGCCTTCCAAACGTCTCGGGCTTTCTCATTTCCATAAACTGGGGGTCAAAGTCTAAAAAATAAAATAAAAAAATAAAAAAATAAACATTTTATATTCTGCTTACCGACAAACTTTCCCAAGTTAAAAACAGGAAGACCAAGTTGATTCTCCAACACTTGCGTCACCACATTCTCGAGAAGGCCTGTAGCATTTTTTGCTTCACTCCGCCTCGAAGGGCCAGTGACAATTATCAAGTCTTCTTCAACTGGCACATCTGTAGCGGGATGTTAAAATCCTGAAAGAAGAAAAGAAAAGAAAACAGCTGCGTATCTGACCGTAGTGCTGTTCTTTCAGAATTCTCAACACCACAAGAACAGCTGCTCGAGCTTCCCCCTTCAGTAAACAAGCAGTTCAGTAATTGAGAAGGGAAGACTTCCCAGGAATTGTTTTACCTTTGACAGCCCCTGAATATCAATTGTGAAGCAATCTCCAGGAACTCTTGTAACTGACACCTTACGCAATATCGATTCTCCATACTCTTTAAAAATTTGATCTCCCGGACCACCCTTAGACTTGTTTTTAATCATCTCTTCGGCCCAGTCCTCGATCAAAGCCTTAAGTACTCGTTCATTAGGGGCATATCTGGAATCCATAGACTGATTTAGCGGCAAAAGGATCGTTTAAACTATTTACCCATTTTTCCTCATTTCTTCGTAGATGGCTAGTATCCTTTGAATCTCACGCAGATCTCCATTCCTCCTGGCTCGTAGCAATGTATTGTATGTGACCTGCACACAGACAGCTAATAGTATTTCTTTGTATGATCTATTTAGAAGACCATACCGAATTTGGTGAGATACCATCGCGTTTCATAGTTTCGAAAAAGCTTAAAGCCATGGAAACGTCTTGAGAGTTCACGCAAGCCTTGGAGCCAGGAAAAACCAAACCCCGTCAGTGAGTGACTAGCTACGATGACAGAACACATGTAGGACGAAGCTTATTCTGGATTCGAAGCGGACCTTGATGATGGCTGTGTAGGCGACCACATCAGCTATAATGCCAGACCTTCCCATTCTTTGAAAAGCCTGCAAAAGTATGTCGACGTGAATACAAAATATGAGAATACAAAGCTTCTTTCTTATACCTGAACAGCCCCTTGTTTGTCACCATTGCAGCCATACGAATTAATAAGGATGCACCAGCTTCGCTTATCCGGCCTGAGACCAGAGCTCACCATCTCCTGCATAACAGCTTCGGCCTGTTTTGGAAGCTTATCACACGCCCTCATCATCGTGTTATAAGCCACTGAGTCGGGACGGACCCATTCGGAGAAGATCGCACTTTCGTCTTGAACTTCAATTCCAGCCAGTATACGTCCAGAGGTCTTCCATTCTCTAAACAGCTTATGCGCCTTGTCAGACTGGCCACCGTCGACGCAAGCGCTAAGAAGAAAGTTGTAGGTGAAGGCATTCGGAGTACACCCAGCTTGAACCATATCTTGATATACTTGAAGCGTCTTCTCAACCAATGCCCCTTTTGAGCAAGCACCAACAAGTGAAGTCCAAGTGACAACATTTGGAACAATACCGGTTGAGTCCATATCATGTTTCATTTGAAATACTCGATCAAGCATTTTGGCCTCACCAAATATCTGTATGAAAAGCTGTTACTTACGAAAGACGTAGGGATAAATGACTACCTGGATTAATGTACCATAGCTTAGAACATTCATCTTGATTTCTTTTGCTTTCAGCTCCTCATACAACCGCAAAGCAAGTACTGGGTTCTTAGACAGACGACAAGCCTTAAAGACGATGTTGTACGTTGTTACATCCGCTGCAATACCGGAACCCTGCCTCCAGATCAAAACAGCGATGAAAAGAGATTCAGTGACAATCTCTCTACCTGCATCTGTCTGTATAGCCTCAGAACGTGCTGGATGTTTCCTGCGTGAGCATTCATCATGCTGTTACATACGTATACGTTTAGAACTGTTCCAGCCTTCAACAATCCCTGGAAAAGATATCACAAGTTACTCGAACACGTCAAACTTTTAAATCTCACCTCGAAAATCGCTGTGGCTTTTTCAGCATCTCCACAACGCCCGCAAGCATCAATCAGTATGCAATACGAGTACATATCTGGACGAACGCCGGTACTTTCCAGAGCTTGAAAAACCTGGAACACCGACTGAAGATCTCCCTGGTCTCGAAATTTTTGCATGATCATGTTGCATGACTGCAAGATGTCCGGAAGTAAACAAGCATACCTTCAGTCACACAACAATAAACTACTTTTAGAACGACAGAAGAAGAGAGCTAACCTGAGAGCCAAGGCAGTGTTGTGCATTCTAGCACAGGCTTCCATGCAAAGGGTAGGCTTCACCAAGTTCTTGACGACGAATCCACATTCTTTGGACAAAAACGAAGTAATGGTTAGAAAAAACTGGAATGGAAGGAGCAGAACTTACTTGCGAGCCTTTCCAAGCAACGAATGCATTCCTCTACTCTGTTCTCCTGGAGTAGCCGGCCACATTCATCGATAACTAGCTGCAATCCATACCTCCCAAGATAATCCGATGGAGAAGAAATTCCCAACTCGCTCAATGCGCGGCAAAATTCCACCACATAAGGAAGCCGGCGCTGCTCCAGCACTGACACGCATCCATCACGCACGGCGTGGATCCCTACAACTTCCAAAAACGCCCTAGCATCTCCCACAGCGCCATGCTCCAAGCGCTCCTGGACCAATCCTATCATCTCGATCAGCCTGCCACGCCGAGCCAAGCGCTTGGCTTCCCCGACGTAGAAGAGATTGCTCGTCGCCGCTGGAGCCGACGCCGCTGGATTCGCCGCTCCCCCGAGCCAAGAATGCGGCAATGCCATAGAAATCTAGGGCTCTAGGGTTTAGGGTTTAAGGGCCTAGGGTTTAAGGGTAAAAGCAATGTCCCAAAATCTAGGGTTCTAGCTCGTGAGGAAGGGGGAGAATGTCGCACATCCAGTGCCCATACTGCAGCGGCCTGGAGGGACGATGCACGCCATCGGGCAGCGGCCGCTTCATCACCGAGTGTAAGGCCTGCGCGCGCGTCGTCGATGAGCGGCGCGTCCAGATCCACGAGGTTTTCGTCGAGCGCGCCACGGACACGCCGCTGTGCATCGTCACGCCGGATTTCAGCGACAACGAGCGATTCCGGGTGCCGCCGCTGGACGATGATCCGTTCGAGAGCAGTGGATTCATCACGGCATTTAGCACTTGGTCGCTGGAAGCCACACCGCTCTTCACCAACACGACTAGCACGGTGTGTGGGCATCTGGCCGAGCTGGAGAGAGTGATGGCCGAGTACTATCCGAATGGAGGGGCCAATCTCGCGGGAAGCTTGAATCTGGTGGACATGCTACGAGCGTACTTCCAGATCGTGGAGGTGTCGTCGGTGCTGGGACTGGAGAGGGATAGCTCCGAGCACGCCATCCAGCTCTTCCGGGATTGCTCCACCGCGACTTTGCTACGCAATAGGAACATCGAGGCTCTCGCTACAGCCGCGCTGGTGCAAGCTAGTCGTGAGGCGCAAGAGCCAAGAACTTTGCAGGTTGGAAGAAAATTTTAATTTTTTTTTCGTTTGACTGAATCTGAAAGTTTTTGAGCAGGAGATCTCGGTGGCTGCCAACATACCTCAGAAGGAAATTGCTAGACACATGAAGCTCCTGTCTGATGCTCTTAAGCTAAGCCAGCCGATCAACAGTAATTCTATCTCGGTTCACATGCCCAGGTTTTGTAACTTGCTGCAGCTCAACAAGACGACTCAGGTAACTCATTTCTGTTGTTCTACTCCCTTGTACTGAGATGCGTAGATTATGCACAGGACCTGGCCTCCCATATAGGAGAAGTTGTGATAAGCAAAAGCTTTTGCACCAGGAGAAATCCTATAAGCATTTCAGCAGCAGCGATATACTTGGCTTGTCAGCTGGAAGACAAGCGTAAAACTCAGACCGAGATTTGTAAAGCCACCGGGCTCACTGAAGTAAGTCTAGGATTTTCGAGCTTTCTCTCTGGAAGTTGCTTGACTTATTCTTTTATCGTCATGTTTCATTTGCACAGGTTACTCTACGCAAGGTTTACAAGGAACTGCTCGAGAACTTGGACGACCTGATGCCTAAAGACTACACTCCAGCCGTTCCTCCGGAGAAGGCTTTCCCAGTAACTACAGGGCTCCGGGTTTCCACTATCTCCAAGCCTTCAGTCGAAAGCCAGGGCTCTGGAGTGGGAATCGACTCGAGCTCAGGTGCTACAGTTTTGGCTGGTGGTGGATTCGCGAGCATGCAATCCTCCGGGGCATCATTCCGGATGCCATCAACAGCCGCAGCAGCGGCAGCACAAATCCCTCCTCATCTCCGCTCGTTATCCGCGGCGTCCTCCTCGGCACCCGTGTACGTGAGGCCTCCAGGGAACGTCTTCATGATGCCTCCGACCATGTCGAGCTCGGTGACGCCTCTGGCCTTTCTCGGCGGCGAAGCAAGCAGGGAAGCAGAGAAACCAAAGACAGGCCTGCGAACTGATAAGTTCGATGTGGATCTCAACGCAGGGTACGTCTCTCCGTCTACAAGTCCCCGAGAAGCCGAGAATCCTCCTCAGTCCTCGTTTAGCTACAGCACAGCCGCAGCAACGCCGCCACCGTTTCCTGCAACGACGGCGACCAAGCCCGAGAGACGGCCATCTCTGCACGATCTTAACATGGTTCCAACCATGGACGACGATGAGATTGTGGAGCTGGATATGTTTGAGAGGAAGCCGCCGGGTCCAGACTTGAATGGCGCTCCTCAAGCTGCTGGAGATCACCACCAGGATTCGAGTGGTAAGTTGGGAGCCATGCCGTTTATGTGGGGAGGACCCCATGGTTTCCCGGCTGCGGCTCCAAAGAAGCAGGAAGCAGTGGCTGCAGCTCCATGGCTTTTCAACGCGCTAGAAAAATCCTCACAGGAAGTCAAGAGTGAGGAGAAGATTGCCAAGCGTGATGAGAAGCAAACCTTGTAAAAAGCAAAAGTTACATCAACTAAGCTCAAGAACACTCGCAAATTCTTTGTCTAGTATTCATAAATAGATATGCCATGAAAGCTTCGCTAACCTAAAATCTTGGTTATCTACTTTCTATCCTCCAGCTACAACCCGTTTAGTCTGCTATCCTGCTCAAGTTCCCACTTATGCTACTAAGCTTATCTTGTTTAATATCCTTGCTATACTTCAATCCGCTGCTACGTGAGACCTGAGAACTACTACTTCTTCTATGGCAAGCAATATGTGACAAGGTCAGAACTTTCGATTGTTGGGAGAAGCCAGGGCTTCTGACGATCAATGTAGATGGATCGAAGGCAGAAGCTCAGCGAAAGCTCGTTTTATTTCTGTTTTATCACGAGTTCCTTCGGTTCCTGGTAAGAGAAGAAGCTCTAAGTTTGCAAACATTGACGATGAAATGGAAGGAATCGCAGTGATCCCTTGGTTAGGTCCTTAACAGCAAATGGTGGCACCATTTTTTATTTGTAAATGGTGGCCGTTGATGGTAGGGTTCCATTCCTGGTCGTCCGATTCCAACGGTCAACATTCAAAATTCTGGCCGTCCGATTTCAACGGCTTAAATCGAATTAAAATCAGGTGCATCGAAAATGGTTTCTTATTAGCTCCATACGTGCTCCCTTGTCATCCGGTTCATCCCAATGGAACTTGCTCCTTCGTGGTGAGAGCTGTAGACGGAACAACGTTTGAAATTGAGGGAATGGTTTGTAGATCGTTTCCTTAGTTTTTATCTCAGATGTTTTTTGCTTGACAAACACTGTGCGATTGGATCGGCTGAGTTGAAGTCCCTAGACTTCAGGTACTAAGTGGCTCTCTGGATCCATTGCGTAGTTTTTCTAGAACTTATGTTGATCACACAGCTTTGTTTGTGAGGATGGAGCACTCTTGGCTGCCACTACAAACGGTGGCAAAACTTTGTGTTGAGGCCATTGTTATTCACTCTTCAGGCGATGTTCATGGCCGCAGCTCCATCTAGCGTCAAGCAAAGCTGACAGAATAGTATCTTTCGCTCACTGTTCTTCCTTTCGTTCGTGGCTTCCAGGCCATAACCAGAGGGGAGACTGGAACGCACGAGGGCTTCGCACGCATCCTTTCTCAGCCTTTGACATTCGCTGCGACAAAAAGCTATTGGAATTGTAACTATTGCTTCCTTCCATCGATTTGCTTCTCACACAAGGTGGCGTTCAAGCCAGTGATAGTGTTACTTCTAATGTAACTTTTTTGTTTTCCATCAAGCTTCGAAGAGCCTAACGTCAAAGACCCTAAAACCTTTGCCTTCCAACAGCGAGTTCAAAAAGGCATCACTGCTGCTAATGCCTTCTCCTTCAAATAACTCGGTGAAATCACTGGCACTGCCGCTGCCGCTGCTCACCCCGACATCATACACTAAATTCTGAGAGCTTGATATTGAAGTCTCTTCAGCTTCTTGAAACGATTCAGTGTTTATCATCTTGGCCTTCCCACCATCCTCGCCCAAATTTCGAGGGAACCACCGCCACATAAAAGGTGGTGGCGATGCTGGTGGTTGTGAAGCGTTGCTGCTGGCTTTCTTAGCGTCACCAGTGCCGCCAGCCAGTAACTTCTGAGATGGAAATCCTGTGGCTGCATGGGACTTTAGCATCTGTTCAATGTCCATCTTAGTACAGATGTATCTTATTCATGTCAGCAGAAGCATACCTTGTAGGATGACTCCTCGGCCATTGTTGCTCCAAGTTCTTCACTATTCTTGTATAGAAGCCTCATGTGCATTTCCACGGTGCTAGTGCCATTGCCTCGCAAGCTCCGCCTAAAGACTGAAGCTGCTGTCGATGGAACATCAGTTTGCCTCAACTTTCGAGATCCTGCTGCTGCATGAGACTTTAGCACCTGTTCAGTGTAGATCTCAGTAATCTGATTGCTGTCAACAGATACCTTGTAGGATGACTCCTCAGCCATTGCTGCCATAAGTTCGTGGCCTTCACTATTTTTGTCTGGAGGCCTCCTGTGCTTTCTCACGCTGCTGGTGCCATCGCCTCTCAACCTCTGCCAAAAGACTGAAGCTGGAGGTGATGAAACACCACCTTGTTCTTCTCCATCTTGTTGTGCACTCACTGGAGCTATGAAGCGATCCACCCAGCGACGAAGATAGGAGGACCTTGCGCTTCTTCCAGAAGCATCCGTCGGGAACTGATAACTGGGATCGATGCCACCCCAAGAAATTCTTGAGTTCTTCCCATAATTCCTGGGACGTCACCTCGTCCTCCTCCAAGCCCACTCCACATTTCTTCTTTTATCGACTGAAGAGTGGTCAGTAGCTTCCAAGTCCACTCTCCAACTAGCTTCTTAAGTTCCTCCACCTCGAGATGCATTTCGGCTCTGGACGGTAGCTGCACCGACGGTAATGTCCAGGTCTGAAAGAAGCTCTGGATATCCTCCCAACTTAGGTTGTCATCATCGTTGTCGGTTGCAAGCGTCTTGCCACCGAGATGAATCCACTGTGCCAACCATGACCACCTCTAGCTGTAAAAGAACGTTGGTGCGATTCCAAGCAAACCATCTAAGCTCTTGAGTTACCTCTTGCAACTCATGGTTGTCATCCTTGAGTACAGGTAATGGTGGTGGATCATAGTCGGGAACACTTGATGCTCCTGCGTGGTGATAACTGCCTAAACCAAGTGTTTTAAATTCTATTATTCGCAAGAATAGGCGACAAACGAAGATTATTCGCAAGAATAGGCGACAAACGAAGATTATTCGCAAGAATATGCGAAGGGCCCTTAACCAAGAGGGTGGTGGCTTCTTCTTGGATGAGCTTCCACGCAGCGTCTACGTGCTTGTCTTGCGTGAGTGGACCGCCGATGGCCATCCTCAGCGTGTAGACGCCCGAGAGCACCTATTCAGGCAAGTATAACTTTGAGAAGAGAGCTCGGATTCGCGATAGTTTTACTGGCTTACCGTGTGAGTGATAAACATTCTTCCACTGGAATTGACAGCCTCCAGAAGCGTGGAGTTTAGAGTGCGTCCGTTGTCCGGATCATCGCTTTCTGGCTTTAGCCTGAAGCAAATCAAGCCGAATGTGCGAGGAACTAGAAGCTGCAAAATGGTGCCAGCGTGTTTGAAGAATAGAACGTGTGCCTTACTTGGAAGCGTGGGTCTTCACGCACGAAGCCTTCGAAGCGCTTTGCAAGGCGGACATGGTTCCTTATGTAGCTCCGTAATCCAGAAGCGCCATTCATGCGCATGACAAACCACAGCTTCAACGACCTGTTTTACAATGTTTCCTAAGGATTTGAGTTTAAAGGAAAAAACGGAAGACTAGAACCTGAATCTTCTGCCGAGAGGTATCTGCCAGTCTTTGTAGTCGACAACTTGATTTAAATCAGATGCCTGGAACAACAAAGAAAGGAAAGGAAAACTTAAACACGAAAGTGAGAAAGATATGCGCTACCTTGTTACGCAAGAACTCAGGTGTTGTAGAAAGAGCTGACACCAGATGGCTGGATTCCTATCGAGGAAAGCAAAAGGTATAAGAACTCTTGGAAAATGAATGAACACCACTTTACCTTCACCCAAAGAGCAGAACAATCGAAGTTTGTAAGCAGCCACTTATGTGCGTTCATGTTAAACGAATCTGCTTTCTCAACTCCATCCAGGTGATGCCGAAACTCTGGGCAGATGCACGCAGAGCCAGCGTAGGCAGCGTCAACGTGGAACCACATTCCAAAATCCTGGTAACATTCTTGCATTTTGAGATCGATAGAGATTGAAAAGAAAAGAGCTATACCTTTGCAATATCTCCTAAAGCAGACAATGGATCCACGGCCGAAGATGATGTAGTTCCCACCTAGGAAAGAACATAACAGGCGTAAGGAGGGAGACAAGCTAGTTGCACGAACTCACAGTCCCGCAAAGGAAGAATGGCAAGAGTCCCTGCTTGACGCCATCCTCAAGTGCTTGTCTCATCGCAGCTGGTGATACTGCATAGTTTGTTGAGCTATCAGTTGGAACAATCACTAGATTTTCAAGAGGAATCCCAGCAATCTGGACAACAAACACGAAGAGGTTATCACGGATTGAAAGGACTAGAAGCTTGAAATGGCGTACCGCACATCCTTTTTGCAGACAGGAATGAGTTTGATCTGACGTATACACCGCCAACTTTGAAAGAATCTCCGCTTCCGACAAACCTTTTCTCTTGTTTTCTGAAATGGCTCGAGTTCGAGCAGCGAGTAGCACCACAGAAACTGCCTCACTAGCAGTTCCTTGAATCACTCCGCCGCCATTACCTGCATTGTAAAGTGTAAGATTGATGATCTTATAATCTAAAATTTCCACCATACCTCCAAATAGAAACTCGTCGGGAAGTTTCAACAGCTTTGCAAGCCAGTCAAGAACAATGATCTCCAGCTCTGTCGCCGCCGGCGAAGTTATCCAGCTAAATCCAACAATGTTCAATCCAGCACTTAACATTTCCCCCAAGAGCCCTGCCGTGCTACTGTTGGACGGATAATATCCGAAAAAATTCGGACTTTGCCAGTGTGTGACTCCCGGAATTATCTTGCTCTGAATATCTGAAAGGAAGGAAGCTCGGCATTTTTATCGCGCGCTTGGAAACAGAACATACCGGCAAAAACTTCCTCCAGCGCTTCGGGATCTTCTGGCGCAGCCGGAGGCAACAAAGTTTTCAAGTATCCAGGCTGCTCAATAAATCAAGTGTCAGGCAAAGTAGAAATTGGAGGAAGAAAAGAAGGAAAAACGTACAGAGACTTGACTGCGAACGGGAAAGCTCTCGATATCACGGTAGTAATCTGCAATGAAGTCCACCATCTCGTGAGCATGCTTGCGAAATTCTTCCGCGTCTATTGGCTTGGGCCCAATGTTCGCTTCCCCCATTTCTAGAGACACGAAGACGGCAAACTGTCACACAAGGTGAGAAGCAAAACGAGACCTGCGAATTGCAAGCCGAAGAGAGGCACAGCGAACAGTGAGAAGACAGGCTCGAAAGCCAAGGCCCTAAAAAATCACGACAACGTTAAATCCAAACACACATTGATGAACAATCATAGCTTTTGTTCTTACCATGAATGGAAGGTTACATTGCTTTCATTTAAAAGCTACCAGGTAAAGTTTGGTCTTGCCGACATTTCTTGCAGCTTCTTGTGATGGCTTGCTTCAAGCTGACACTGCATTTTGCACGGTGAGGAATTTCAAACCTGTTGCAAAAGACAAAACAGAAAACTTACTCTGCATTCCTTGAGAAGAGGGGCTCGAGAAAAGACGACTTGAAGAAGTGAATTGACTTGGCAAGGGATGAATCCTCCAGCTCAATTGGAGCAACAGGCTGCAAGAGAAGATTAGTTACATTTGGAGTTACCTCTTTATCATCCTTGAGAACAAGTGCATGAGTTTGTATTTTAATCTAGCCATATTAATTAAAACATTTCTAATAATTCCAATAGACTTGATTCTTCAGCATACTTGGGAACATTTGATGCTGGGTCACTACTAGTGATCACTACCTCGAGTTGCAAGGGCAGTGCTGGGAAATCCTCCACTTTCTTGGCCGCTGTTGCTGCAGGAGTCTGCCCACACGCAAAACATGTCAAAGAAGAAGAAGAAATGATAGAAACAAGCGAGCTGTACACACCTCAAGGAGGAGGATCTTCAATCCCCTGCTTGCCTGTGTGCTTGCCTGTGCTGGAGCGCATCGCCGCCAATATGATAGGGCAGGGTTACTATGTAAAGTATAGATTTAGAAGATCGTGAGAGATAAGGAATATTATCGTAAAGAGATTTGCTTGGATCTCAAGCAGCTTGCGAATCTGAGGATTATCACTGTGTACAATAATCTCAACATAACGGATTTCCAACGCTGCCTCACCAGCCACTTCTGGGTATTATCAAAGGTTTAAGTAGTCTTAAGCAAAGGAGCCGAAAAACACGCGATCAAAGTATCAAGAAGAACCTCAAAAAAGAAATCGCTGGATCACCACGAAGATGCATTCGCCATGCCTCGAAATTTTTCCAAAAGTGCCCAAAACAGCGCAACTGATGCTTGTGGAAATACACCATCCTGAGACGACTTTTTAGCTTGACGATTTTCCGCTTCCATTCTCTCCGGGATAGCAAAGGGAAAAAAAAACCAAAGAGAGATTTTCTCTCCTTCTCTTGTCTAGAACCAAGAAGCACAATACATTCTACCACTCTTCTCTTGCTCTCGGGTGATATCGATACCTTCAAAACACAGGAATCACGCAATCGCAGTGCACTGAGCTGGTACTCCGCGTGACTTGCAGTAGAAGATCAAGGTGGTCAATGACACGGGCATGGCTGCAAATACAGCCTTGGCCACATCAAGATGCCCTTCTTGGGCATTTTCTGCAACTATAGACGTCCATGCCACTACATCCCTCTCAGGCATTTTGACAAAGATCTACTTTGCCTCTCTGTTTGCGATGTTTCCATGGAGGATGATGTTCCAGAGGACCAGATTTTGATCAAAGCCATGATCAAGCATCACCTTTGCCTCATCCAGATGCCCGTTTTGGGCATACGCTGCTACCACTGCCGAGAAGCTCACTAGATTCCCGGAATTCGATCGCGCACCGTATTTGCAAAGGTGACGATCTCATTTTCCAAGTAGGCCTGAAGCATCGCTGTGCGCGAAACGACGTTCCTCTCGCTCATCTCCTTGAGCATTTTCCTCGCAGAGGCTATCCCGTGATCATCGCCATTAAATTCCACGAAACTAGGCTCCTATCGGGCATCTTGTGGCGCCCCCGTGCTGCACAAATCCCGACGCCAAAATCGTCCAGGACACCACATTCCTGGCGCTCATCCGATCAAAGCACTCCTTGGAGCGCTCCACTTGGCCGTTGCGATGGAGCAAAGCATTCGAGGAACTGATCGATGGCCTTGCGATCCCCAGCGGCCATCCAGCGCATTGTGCCTGTGGAGCTCCTTCGCCCACTCCATGCCTGGATCGCTCTGGCGCGCTCGAATCCCCTCGATTTCCCACGCTGGAGAAGGCAGTCGATTGCCGCCAGTGAAGTGTGCTATTGAGAGGAATAATTTATCATCCTCGCGTGACCAAACAGGCATTTGAGAGATTGTAATCGATCGAATCGAATGGTTTTTTAATGCAATGTCTGGCCATATCCCAATGGATTCGTTCATAGTAAAGCTGGATCTTTATTTATTTATAAATAGAGATTGTGGACAAGATGGCATATTTTCTCTTCTCGCAGAGGATCGGGAATCTTTCCTAGGTTCGTGGAGTGGCTCAAGTCCAAAGACCAATAACTGTGTACAGGGGTGATGTTCTTGTTGTCGTTGCTTATACGCTCAATACTATTTAGCTCGGACACAAGCTTGGCAATGGACTCCTTGGTACCGTTCTAGAAAAGCCAATAAAGAAAATGTTAAGACCCACAGTGGATAGACACGAAGCACCAGAAAAAAAAAACGCAAAAAAAAAGAAGGTACTTAAACATTTCCAGTTTCCTCCAACGAAGAACTGTCAAGGAAAGAAGAACGCATCGAATCAGAACGAGTAAAATTGAAGAAGAAATCTACTAATGTAAGATCCATGACCCTAAATTTCATCCAAAAAGCATGAGATGGATGATGTCGATTTCCCCTGTTAAAGACAGTCAAGACTAACTAGAACAATGGAAAAGGTAAAGAGAATTCTGTTATTGTATTTAAGGTTATAAGCTAACCTTTTTCTTCTTTTGAATGCTCTAATGCTTTGGCAGGATTGGAAGCTTGTGGGACAAACAATCCAAGTCGGTTCGAATCTACATGGCACAGTAGGGATGGATCCATATGTCAGGTTTGGGCTGCTCCTTCTTTGTCCTCTCACCTTAGCTGCTCTTGGGTTTGCCCGGCTTGTCAAAGTGCAATATTTTTGCGGCAGGATTGCTCAACACAAAGAGATGTTATGCGTGGCCTCTCCAATGATTTTTCTCTGTGTTAGCCTTCTCAGCCGTGACAGAAATGGCCTTTATCTTTCTCATACATATGCTTTTGTTTTCAAACATGTACGGGAACAATTGCTATTATGCAACTGTTGGCAATGCAGGCCAAGATTCTTCAACCCAACCCACCCAAGAAGGTGGCAAACTCTTTCTTGTATCAAGAATCTATTCAAACTCATTGGAAACCTCTCTTAATACTTCTCTCACACTTGGGATAACTGTGCTTTTATAGCTGGTCATGATTAACTAGATTCCACTACAAAGTAGGGCTAAGCTTGAAATTCTCTCTAGACACTTTGGAGCTTCTTCCATCACACTTAAATATTTACTATCACTGGTAAAGTGATGCAATGGCTGACTTTGGTAAGCTGATTAACCACCACCACATTAATAGCATTGAAACTTGCAAGCTTGAGATAAAATTTATTATGATTGATGTAAATTGAGTTTAAGCTATCCAAGTGGCTTAAAAACTTTGGGGATGTTATTATCTCCTTTTTGATCTATTGGTAAATACTAGATTTCTTCACCTAGTTCTTTACCTCCTTCTACAGCCCTTCTAATAAATTTTTTTTTCACTTTAAATAGTATGTGTATATTATACTAGTACCTTCAAACTACTTTATATTTTTAATAAAAAATATTTGATTAAATTTTTAACTTCTCTGTAATCATATTAATTTTTAGTAAAAAATAGTTACAGAATTTTAATTTTTTCCGAAAAAGTAGTTAATTTTGATTAAAAAAAATTTAATCAAATTTAATCACTTTTCTATACCACTAAAATATACAATTACCGACTTGAATGACATTACATAAAGATCTCATTATCTAAGTATTCTTTGTTTCAATTGATTAAGGTTTTTAGAATACGTGGGGTTAAATTCCCTTGAATTTAAACTATTAACCTTTTGTGAAATAATGATTTGGTGCAAAATTAAGAAGTTTAGAATTGGGATTACTAAAAATGTCTCTTTAAGAAAATGAGTGTATTTCCTCCCACATATACCTTAACAGAGCAATGACAATAACATAAATTTATCAAAGTAGTTGAATAAACCTAAGAATGCTCTTAGGTATAGTTGTGCATATATGGCTTCAAATTATTAATGAATTCTCAACACATGAGTATATAAAATTTAATTATTAATAGATCCCAATAGCCCCAAAACACATGCCAAACACTATATCAGTTTCATGTCATGCCTTTCAACTTGACAATTGCCCTTACTATTTGATGAATGACATTTTCAAGAGCTTTATAATGGTTTTTCTTTAATGATATCCTTATTTATAGCATGAATGTAAATAAACATCTAAAAAATATTTTCCAACGGCTGAAAGAGTTCTTATTTATTGCTAAGTTTTCTAAGAGCACATTTATGTTACTGAAAGTTGAATATTAGAGGGTTTTGGATTGCAAAAAGCTTACAACCAAATCCAAGAGCCTTTAGACCAAAACTTCATCATGACATTTTCAATCCTTGGGATGTGAAATTTATTTTTCACAATGAGCACATTCATGATATAGTCTTCATAAACTCTTGTTTATATAGAACCAAGCTTTTATAGCCAAGCAGCTGCATGGAAATAGTATATACATACTCAAGGTCATGAAATCTCATTTTGGCATCCTAGAAGTGTTCCAAGTTTAAGGCCAAGGGATTTGTGGAGCATACCCTCAAAAGAGATATGTATGGAATTCACAGGATGGGCTACTTGATGTGTATGAGAGGGAGCTCCTATAATAATAATACATAATATAGTAATAATATTCATAGGAACAAGTGTTTTGCTTTGCAATGTTATTCAAGAGGATGAGTAAAGAAATTGGTAAAACCAATACAATATAAATCAATTGGTATAATCTTAGTCCTCCTGGAACAACTTTGCAAATTATTAGTAAGACTAGTACTTGCCTAGAAGCTGCACAGTTAGCCAAGGTAAATTTAATACTAAAACTGATGCAATGCATCATACTAATCATTGTGCTATATGATATTTAGTATATATTTGTTCTTCTTTTCCTGCTGGATAACAAAGGAAAAACTCTTGGTGAGATTTTTTTTCTTCCACAAAAAGGAAGCATGATATCTATTCCCAATTTGAGCAAATTATTTCAAGCACCCAAGCAATGCTATGTCATCAAGCACATGCATTCTTTATTGTAGTGTTTAATATTAATTCTGAAATTAGAGTTTTTTTGTTTGTAAAGTGTAAGTGAAGCATTTGGCAAAGGGTAATATGGGTGGCAATATCACTTGACCATGCTGACCACACATAGCAATGCTCTCATTTTTAAAATGTGATGCATTAGAAAAAGATGATAAGAAAAAAAATTCAAATTTTAAAATTTGTGAATCTTTGTATATAGTGTGACTTGCTAGTGTGGTGTGTGAAGATGGAGATGGTGTAGTGGATATTGCTTGATGTGTATATAGTTCATTTTGATTTGAAGTAATTTAAAGTGGCTTAGGGTGTTTATCAGAATTATTAGTATTTAAATTCTTATCAAAATGATTGGTATTTCTTATAGTTCTAAGAAGATGATGAAGGCGAGGCATAATTTGAAAATGTCGAGTATAAAGCTAGAAAACTATAGCTTATACAAGTTCATGTTTGTAAACAAACTCAAATTTGTAAGAAAAATATAAAATTTTAATATATGATAAAGCTATAAATAACTAAAGAGAATGATTTAAGAGATGATTCATGGGGTTCAAATATAAAGGGAAAGGGCCCATGAACAAGAGTGCACCCCCTTTTCCAATTGGTTAAGGGTATTCAGATATTTGGGGTTAAACATATTTGGGTTTGAATAATATTGAGTTAGGAAGTCCAAACTCATGAGCTTACATTTGGTATCGGAACGGTCTCAGGTCCGACTCTTATTGGTTGGCTAAAAGAATTACACCACATATTAATTTATATTTGGCAGGTCCAATTTGCTCCCGAGGGGTAGGATGTCAAGAGAGCGGGGCTCTTAGAAAAGCTATGGCTTTCAACTTTTGTTCATAAAAGCGTAAATTTGCAAGGAAGTATAGTGGGGGTAGGATGTCAAGAGAGTGGGGCTCTTAGAAAAGCTATGGATCTTAGCTTCCGTTCACAAGGGTGTGAACTTTTCAAAGAAGTATAGTGGATTGTAAACAACCAAAAAGAATAACTTGAGAGACGATCCATGGAATTCAAATATAGAGGGAAAGGGCTTATGAACAAAAGTGCGCCCCTTTTTCCAATCGGTTAAAGGTTTTTGGATACTTGAGGTTAAATGTCTTTAGGTTTGAATAGTATTGGGCTGGGTGACCTCCTGGGAAGTCCAAACTCAAGGCTTACAGAGGCTAAGGATATAAACAAACACAAACCTACTGCATACTTGGTTCTCAAGAATCTCTAGTGCAGCCACAAAGCGATGGTAAAAAATTGCATTAAGAAAAGGGTGTGCCACGAACTAAGAAGAAAAACTATTATGTGAAGCAAGAGATCAAAACTTGTGACGTGCCAAATACAAATTTGATCTAGCACTTTTGGGCAATTAAGATTTCCACAGCATTGCAAGGCATTGAGGTTCTCACCGCCTTAGCCACAACAGTGTCAGATTAGTTGCCATAGCTCAAGAATTTCTAGTGCTGCCACAAAGCGATAGTAAAAAATTGCAAAATCGATTCCTTTGTTCAGAAAATCACTCGAGACCCTGGGCAAGGAGATGAGGAAGTTGCAAGAGCTCATAGCACACTGCAGATTCAAACTCATCCCACTTCCATGCTTGCCATTGGCACTACCTGCAAAGCACTTAGTTCAAGGCAACTCTTGCCGGCATGGGAATGATACAGAATGGAGTGAGGACGCGTCGTCTTGACAATAACTTCTCCAATGAACTCCTGCTACAAATTGCTCATACAGTTGGGGTTCCAGTGAATCCAGTGGCTCTATGCTAGGAGCTCTTGTAGTTTAAGAAGGAAAAGGAGATGTAAGTTTTAAATAGCACAAAGTGTAAGAGAGGGATTTTGAGTTTCTTCTCTTTAGCATTTTTCACTTTTTCCTCTTTTTTTATTTGTTTGTTTCTCTTCTGAGTTACCAAAGTATTCCTCAAACTTTTTACCTTCTACTTTTCTTTGAGCATTTATCTTTCTCCACAATTACCCAGTTTGGGCATCTTTCTCTTTGTGAGTTTCTCTGCAAAGCATGGGGCTAGGGCGTTGGGGCAGAGATATATGGGAGATTCTTAGAGATTTTTAGAGATTGAGAGCACGATATAGCATTTCTCTTTAATATAGATCTCTTCCCATATGGAGAGATCAGCATTGCTCGACACAATTCCTCTCTAGTTCAATAGAGACCCTTCTTTACCTTTTGGTAAAGTACTAATTTTAGTCATCTGACTTTAATTAGATGATCAATTAAAGTCTTCAGTTATCAGTTCATACATTAGAGATACCAAAGAAAACAGCTACAAGGATTTCATCAAATGTAAGTAGCATCATGAATGAGTTCATAGTGGCATACCTTTACACCAAAATATGACAAGAGGTTTTTGCATCCATAAATTGCTTAAGAAAGCGGTTAGAAGGAATAATTCCCAAGTTTGACTCTCTTACAATATATTGATTCTAACATAGAATTGGCTGTTGCATTTCCCCTTCAATCGAGAGAGAAGTTTGTAAAACTGTTTTAAAGTTTTCTTTGTGATTAAAGATTTTGGTCATAATCTTAATTACAAGCATACTAAATCTTACCATCACAAACGGTTTGCACTTTCATTGAGGAGACTAATAAAATCAAGCCATGTCTTGGCTTTAAATAAATACCTTTTTGTCTGTCATCCGTGTGTGACATGCCAAACTTCTTGTAGCAAATTGCCATGCAATACTTGCCACATGGCTAAGCAATACTGAGTCAGAAATAACAAACCATGTTCAAGAGCTTGGGGTGGGACTCTCCGTTCGAGAATGTGAATTCCCAGCTTTCATTTCCTGTCTATGAATCAAACACTGCTCCAAATGCCACGATCTTCTTTGTCTTGCACACGTCGCGAACGGCCTCCGTGAACTTCGCGTTGGACACCACAAAGATGGCCTCTGCCCTAAACTCCTCGTAGCTCGCCAATGCGATCTCCGGCTTAGGCCGCCCCATCTCCGCGGTGTCGTAGATCGTGTGGGAATGTTGGAATACGCGATCACAGATCTCGTCCCCGTAGATTCCCCGGTGCTTCTTGGCGATCCAGACGACGTGAATGGCGACGCGATCGCTGCCAATGTGTGGGAGGATTGGGGCAATTCCAGCCCCAGTGCCCACGCAGATCACTCTCTTGTAGGCATAGACAGAGTACATAAACCCTAGCGGGCGGTGCCACCGGATGAAGGCCTTGATCGTCGTCTCTCCCGAGGAGGATTTTGTGGATGGAGGAGCTTCCAGATCCGGCGGTGCCGTGAAGAATTCGTCCACGACCTGCGCCCGGTTCTTGCTCACGGATCTATCCAAGCGATTAAGGCAGCGCTGCGCAAGGTTTTGTGTCCAATCTCCCGCCACTCCCACAACCAGGCCGTAGGCGCGATTCTCTCGATCGCTGAAAGCCACCGAGAATGCGTGCCACTCTGTGAGATTGAAGGAGATCTTGGCGAAGGCGCCGGGGCGGGCCTTGCCGTGGAGGCGGACGATCAAAATATTTCCCTGCCTGCCAACGCGGACATGGACGCTCTGGCGCTCGATCAAGAACCACGAGTAGAACACGAGAAGGAGACAGGCTATGGCGATCGTAGCGCTGGCGATAGCAATTCCTGACAGATTCCAGCGAGAATGGAAGAATTTCCTGAGCAAGATCGCCGTGAGGAGGAGAAGGAGTGACCAGCCCAGGTATCTGTGGACTCTCTCGAAGAGATTGTGGTGCCGGACCCTAACGATCGGCATTGCCAGGATCGTCATGATCGAGAGACCGGCGACGAGCACGGCCAGCATTGCGACGTTCGCGGCGTCGATTCCATCGGCAATGTGGCCATGATCGCCGCGATTGGCGATGGGGAGGATCAAAGCGATGGTCGTCCACACGAGAAGCATGATCGCGCAGCCCGTGTGGATGCCGCCATTGCAGTGGAGCATTCGATTAAAGAAGTATTTCTTCCATGGGATCCGGACGACGATCTTGTAAAGCAGCAGCAGCACCGTGCCGTCGCGGATCGCCGCTACCGCCAGGAGATTCACAAGCGCCATGGCGGTGGCCAGCTCCGCGCGATTGACGCGAAGGTCGTCCTCATCGATCGAGAAGAGGGCCGCGACGATGGCAAGATTGACGGGGAATATCACGAGCCACCACACGTTGTAGAGAGTGAATCCAAACCTTCTTCCCCATCCAGCTCCCAGACGAGCGGGCTGCTTCTTCTCCACGATCGCATTGAGCCGCTTCTCCATCCGGCGCGTCGTGGATTCCTCATGGAGTTCTTGGGCGGCAAACTCCATGATTCTCTCGATGGCAGTGGCAGAGCAGCAAAGCACCGTATAATGCCGGAGACGCCAGACCCGCTCTCCGATTCTCCCTCTCTCAATTCCTTCGGCTGGAACTTTCACATTTGTCATTGGAACTTTTCCTTGGACTCTAATTTTTTATATGACTTTAGATAACGACACAGAAGAAGTTGGAATACAACACTCCCAAGAGTGGAATCGATCTTGAGATCAGGTCAAGACCTTGGGAGTGGAATTCAAGACGATGTCAGAAGCTTGTGGCTCGGGGGTAAGCTATTACAAAACTCTTGCGTCTTCTTCTTTTAACGTGTTCGCTTACTAGCTACGAAGTCGGGACGCCTGGAACACGTAGAAACGTCAGAGCAAGCTAAGGCTAAAAGAGGTCCAAATGCCGTACGTTTCCATGAGTTTCTAGACTTTTTCTGATATTCTGAGCCTGTGCAGATGGTAGAGAGGGAGTTTGTTCAGGTAGTGACGCCTTCAGCATCAAACACTTGCTAACAGTGAAAGAGGTTATTGTGTATTTTGAAGTTGCCAAGCACTTATATGTTAACCAGGGAACCACTGGACCGAGCGCTGTAATCTATGGGTTTTGCTTTTGCTGCCATGTCGCTCATTCTGCTGCCTTGGATGCGCTCGTCATGCAGGTATGTCAGCACGCTACTTACCTCTTGCCATAAAAGCTCATAGCTAGTTAGAACATCCGTTGGATCACGGAGACAAACTGTTGCCCAAGGCTTTTGTCGATCCTCCATTTTCAAAAGTAAAGCCTGGAGTTTTAAGTTAAAATATCCAACAGCATTAGATATTGAAGAAGCATTTTTGCTCCTTGCTCCTTGCTCCTTGCTCCTTGCTCCTTCACACTTCAATCCTAGAAGCACTTGGTGTCCTCGAGAGCACTTGGCCATTCAACTGACCACAGTGGCAGTGTCCTCTTCAGTGTCGCCGTCAACATCAGTGGCAGTGTCCTCTTCAGTGTCGGCATCAGCATCCACCCATACCCCACAAGCAGCCTTGATATTTCTCACTTCTCGCCAGAAAAACCGTGGGACTTGTGAGCTCGTAGGGACCTTAACATCAGAAAAGCCAACAATGGCCAGCTGCAATGGCTCATTGCTCTTGACCAGTAGTGAATTTGAGTCGAATCTACCGAGTAGCAGCCCCCTCTTATGGATCTTCTTCAGTATAGGGACTGCTGCTTTCGCGTAAACGTCAGCAGGATGCCCCCGTACTAGCTTGTTTCCCTCGTAGCTAAGAACCAACACCGCAAACATCTTTCCACACATAAAGCCGTACTCCATGAGCTTGGGAATGCCACGACCTTGGAGAGTCTTGAGCTTCTTGTAAGCCCAGATTTCCTTAACAAAGGCATGGAGCTGATCCAAGAAACTTCTGTATCCCATATCTCTGATCTTGAGCACAACATTCTCCCCACTGGTACGAACTTGAGCATGGATGACATCGCAGCAAGCCTTTGACAGCTTTGTCCCCAAGACAAAGTCAGTCACCTTCCAGAATTTGACCTTCTTGTGAATCCCACCAGAGAAAAACTTCTTCCCTACTGTCAATGCCCGGAAGGAGTGAGAGTTGTCATCGCCGAAGCTGGACGCCTCCTGTTGAACCATGCACACCACAGCAGCCTTCATAGATGCCGAGTCCAGTATCCGATGCACAGTCTCGCCTTCAGTGATAATCTGCGGGCGCTGCTGCCCAACCGAGAGCGCCATAAGATACCAAAAGCAGCCTAGCTTTGCTTCCACTCGTTTGAGTGGACGTGAGATGGCCAGCTTCCCTGAACCATCGCTGAAACAGAACCAATACAAGTCCCGCGTCGTGAAGAAGCCGTAGTTGAGCCCGGCAAGCGCTAGGAGCTCCCGCAGGCGGTTCAGCACAGCCCAAAAACAGCTTGTGGGAGACGATTGTAAGGCCCCGGCAATCTCCTTTGGTGTCAGCTCGGGCAGGAAAGAAGGATGGTCCACGAGACCGAGCAAGAGGCCGGTCTTGTGACCAGTCCGCTCAAAGAACACGTTTGGATGGCCAAGCGCGCTTGTAGCCGTGTCGCTTACGTTAAAACCCAAGCTTTGGATGCTCTCCATCACGTCTGCGGCCATGCTGCATGACTCAGGCTGCCTCTCTTCCCAGTAAAAGGCGCCGGTGTTTGGGAGGCGAGCCATAAAGCGCGCAACCTCGGCCTCAAAGCTGTCCCAAGAGGCCAGCGACCATGGGCTTCCATCGCCACCAAAATCCTGGTTAATGGGGTCGTCACCTGAAAAGGGGACCGGCGCAGGGATGACCATCTTGGAGACCTCGGCCGCAGTCAGCGTATCATCGTAAGTGACTGCTGTTTCGGAATGCAACGAAAGAGCTGCTGACACTGCGGCATCCATTGGTGACTGCCCTAGCAGTAGAGAACCCTAGCTGAAAGAGCTTTGCTGGCCGACGATTCGGGAGAGAGGGATCGTGCTTCAACAAAGTAAGTTTTGTATCTGCTTTTTTTTGGTTTGGATATACTTAAATATGTTTCAATATTTTAAGATATTTTACTATCTAACGGTTGTTATTTATTAGATTAATCTTGTTATAATTTATAAACATGTTTATAATTTATAAATTTTCTTGAACCTTTTCTAGTATATTCTTTTTTATTCTATCATCTAATGGTTGATATGCAATAAAATTAATCTTGTGTTTATAAATTACAAACATGCTTATAATTATAAACTTAGAGAATGTGTAGTCAATTTGGCTACTTGATGTTATTTGTGCTAGCTGATTGCATGAAAGATTAGGGCTGTTTGATCAATTGGATTAAGAAGTATAATAACACTATTATTAAGTAAATCAGATGTTGTTACGTGTAGCAATTTATTTTCTATTTATTTTATTTATATCTTGGCTTACTGTTAGAGGATTTGTTATAAAATATTTATAAAAAATATGTAAATACTTCTTCTAATTACCTATTTATATGTTTTCATTGTTATCCTTTAAAGTGTTATGCGTAATATCTAATATATAGTTAAATAATAAATAATAATAATAATTTATAAATAAATTACTAACATATCTTGCTGTGTTGCATTTGATGGCAATTGTTCAAGTCTTGATAACACACCAGAAGGATCTTTGAGATCTTAGTGTTGATCCAAGTTTCTTTCAAATCAAAGTCAGACCATGGATTCCCATAAGAAAATTAATAACCTTATTTTTTCTAGAGGAACCATTAAAAATGTTGTGTAGACGACCAACGTCAGAATGACAAAGGTCTTTCCATCCTACTGTGTGGATTGCTGGTGATACTGAGAAGAGCAGTGCCAAGATAGAACACCTGCAAAGCAACTTGCAAGATCTGAGCGGCTAGATATGTAAGCTTGTAGCTTTGCTGGAATGAAGGATTTGTTGCAAAGATCTGCATTGATGTCAAACCAAAGGTGAACCACTACTACTAGAACCGAAAGAGCTGGAACTTACATAGAAAAACCATACTCCATTTAGTGGAGATAACCATATAGCTCCAAGTAACATATGGACAAGTTCCAAGGTGCTGCCACGGCTGCAATAGGCTGCTGCAACAGCACTCTAAAGAACCTGAACGGGATCAAAGATTTCGAGCCGTGAACCGGCCATGACGCGTACTGTGCCGGCCGATAGATACTGTGATCCTTCTCGTGCTTTCTCAAGTCGGTCCACGTCTCGCCATCACCCGATCCCTGTCAAGATAACCATAGCAGAAACCTTGCCGATTTTTCTCTAAACCAATGAAGCTCACCTGGAATGTCCAGTTGCGAGCAAAGTTCGTGGACCCGTCCTGTCGCACGGAGTAGTAATTGCACATCAACTGCGACATCGTGGAACTCAGGGAGTGGGAAACAAACTAGAAACCCGTCACTGATTATTCGAACCTTGTGATCCGGTCCCAAGTCCACTCTCCACCAGGAGACTGTCTCTCCGCGTTCAATGCATGGTCCAGCGAAGGACGTAGCCTGGAGCCAAAAATCTGGTCTTATAATTGACAACATACTATCAATATTATACCTGGTAATTGCGAGAGGCAAGCACCTTCGGATCAGTATATCTGGAAGGGGGACTGCTTGCGGATAATGTAATTTGCTGCAAAAAATGTGATACCATGGTACAAGTTTGATGATGTAACTTCTTGTACCTTCGTGACCATAGGATTCATCCATTCATGTGCTCCATATGATGTCCCGGCGTAATAAAGAACACCGTTACCGTCTCCGTCGCAAAGGTAGTTGAGTTCTTTATAAGACGAAAACCTTCTAGTGAACCATAACCCGTTCTTTGGCAGGCTTATGAACCGTCCTTGATTTGAGCTGCGAATCAAATCCCTGGAACACTCGCACGGCTAAGCACTGGAGAACCGAAGCACGGAAAACTCTTTACTTACTTTTCATCGTCTGAAACAAAGGACTCTTGTTTAAGATAATGGCATGCTTCTCCCACCTAAACAAAGGTCTCACAAATCATAAATAAAACGAGAGACCAAACTAACCATCTGTCGGAGAAGTGGTAGCTTTTCGCAGAGAGAGGAGGAATCTAGCTGCAAAACGCGAGAAGACAGTCCGAAAACGTGAGACGGTTCTTTCCGATGAACAGCTTACCTGCTGAAGCAACTCCATGGACATGAGAGGAAACCGAACCAATGGAAGTAATACTTTCAAGTCCTCTTCACGGTCGGGGCATATAACTTGAAGACCGACTTTGTACTTTGTATCAGCATCTTCCCAGCACTGAACCCCTTCCATCTTTGATCCCCACATAAACACTGCGTCGAGAACTTTCTCTTCTGACGTGACGAGGAGATCCGGGAGCTGTAGAAAGTAGGATTACAACAAGCACATACCCATGCAGAGATGAAGTGCTTCAGCCACACCACGTCTTCAGCAAAGACTTTCACACACAGGCTCACTCCGACTGACAGAAAAATGATTCTTGTCTACCATGTAGTCAGCAATTCACCTGCAGGATCCTCATAACACTCTGCCCGTCCAGTTCCGTGAACTCGGTCGCGGAAGACGCTACACAATAGTCAAAATGTTTGGCACAGCTTTCTTCGCACGCCTGTCTCAGGGTCTCGCAGCGTGCCATGGAAGATGCTACTTGAAGAATAGCGCATGAAGAATCCTGCAAAATGCATATAAAGCTACATTGCTACACTTCAGAAACTTACCTCGTTAACGCAGGCAAGGAGATGATCTAAGCATTCCTGATGTAGAACACGAACTCCATATCTATCAGCCATAATAAGAAGAGGAAGCAAGAGAGAGCCCACATTGTCCTTCCCTTCCAGATCAAGGCGGCCAGTGTACATGAACCGAATCATAGTCATGAAGGCGTCAAGGTGAACGTCCTTGATGGTTACTCGTGTTCTGCTGCTCTCTTTCATACCAATAGTAAACATCTGCCATAAAGATTACTGTGAGAGAATCATATAAGCAGCAAAAAGTACCTTCGCAAATGGAGCACTCCATACACTCAAGACGAGTCGATGCAGCTGCAAGCATAGATCGTAATCTTCGAGATAAACTTCAAGGTCGCTCAAATCCCCAGTCAACAGCATGCGGGTGAAAGCGGCTGGATTCACATGCACCGGAGAATTTGTATCGTAGCAGTGCATTGTTAAAAGCACCAAATCTCCTGAAGAATCGTAAGAAACTTCCCTTATATGCTGTTTGCATTGTGCGGCTAAATTCTGGAAGCCAATCAGTTCAGCGAGTCCACGCAGCTGAACCAAGTGCTCCTTGCCAATCTGCCAGAAAACCTCTGGTTACATCTCTATACAATACAGCTTTTGTTTCTTACCTCCGCCTTGCCAGTGTAGACGTAACGAAGAGCAGCATGCAGCACCAAATAATCAACGCCGTGTAACACCAGCTCCGTCGTCGTCAGAAACGGACACTCCTTGGAGCTGGATCCAGTGACTAGAACCGCCCGATGAGCACAAACTCTTCTATTCTCCGGGAAGAGCACGAACTCAAAGTCGGACAAGTCCCCGCTCTCCAGAAAGTTGGCCAGCCCAGTGCTCCACTGAGAATCGATCGCCGAGGTTGTCCTGTAGAGGCATGGCGGAAGAGCAGCGACACTGATGTTCCTGTATCCGACGTGCTTGTCCCAGCTGCTAAGTCCCACGAACTGGACCTTACAGTTCGGCTCTGGATCAACCCACTGGTAGACCACATTCTGCCCGAGCTCTCCTTTTCCCACCACGATCGATCCCTCGTCCACACTGATCCAGTAGCGCTCGAAAACCAGAGGACTCACCACCGGACCAGCCACATCCACCACAGTTCTTCCATTGGCGGCGATCTTGAGCCTCTTGTTTAAGTTGCTCCCGATAATCACCGTGTAGTTTGGATCGCTATCGGTCCTGTAGTGTTTACACCCGGCGAGCTCCTTGAAGATCACTGTGACATCGTTCTCGGCCCTGGCCTCGAATGCTACGCAGCCCCTGCCAGCCTCTGGGAAGCGGAGCTCCTCCTCAAACAGCCACGCGCAGTCGAACGGAGGCACGACCAGGACATTGTTCTCGACGAGCTTCATCATTCGCGGCGGCGGCGATCACAGCGATCACAGCGGCGCCTGGAAATGCGAGGATTTCGACCGATCTGCGCGAATCGAGAGAGATTTCATACCTCATGAGAGAGACCGCTCGCTAAAAGCTCCCAGGCAAGGATCTATTCAAAACCTAGCCAAACGTGAGGTTTAGAGCAACGTGAAGGTACACACGTGTACGATTTCTTGAAAACCCACGCTTATCTCAAAGCATCTTTGGATATGCTTGAGCAAAGAAGAATAAACAAAAAAAGTTTGCGGTGAGCGTGGATCGAACACGCGACCTTTAGATCTTCAGTCTAACGCTCTCCCGACTGAGCTATCCCCGCTTTGTTTCAGATTATCTTTAACATTCTAATAACAATGCAGCTCCATTAATAAATTAATAATAACAATAATAAAAAATATATAAATAATAATATTCTTTTCTAAGTTATAAACTTTGTAGCTTAATATTAATTCCGATTTGCAGGATTCTTGAGCTTATTGGGCATGAAAATTTTTGTCATACAAGTTTAGACAAGTTACATATAGATTGTGATGATTGTCTGTAGCGAATTATTATTTTTTTTTGATGCCCACTAGACAGCGTCCAAGTCTCTGCAAGGAGGTGGCTTGGGATCCGACAGCAGTGTCGTGTTTCCTCCTGCTGGTCCACATTTGATTCTCGTAGGATTTTGCGTGCCGACCTTCACAGCGAAAGCTCAGTTTTCACGAAAGAAAACGAGGAAAGTTTGAGCTTACCGGTGGTTTTTCTCCTTTTCTCAGCATCTCGACGATCTCGACAACACGCTTAGGCGTCAAGTCCTCCTGTTGTTTGTGAAATCAGTAAAGCAATGACTATAGAGGTTTTGATGAATCTCACGTAATAGTTGTAACTATATCCCTCCGATCCATTGGTATAATCGGAGACCACGACCATGGGAGCATTTACGCAGCAGCCCTGCCATATCACTCCCATTGGTGAGTGGAACAAACTAATATGAAGAGACTCCAACATTACCATGCATTCCATTTCGCCGACTGAAAACATCCCGTCCTTGGTCACCTCTGCAAGGAAACTGTGAGTATGGATTCCCAAAAGGAATAAATCGTCATCCATCACCATTGCGTTTTACGCCGAGGTGCTTGAGAAGTGCCGCCTCGATGTCTCGAGAGCCACGAATCATGCACGGTGTAGTTCCACAGACTTGTATGTGGTATTTTCCCACCTGGTAAGCTCATGAAAACCCAGAACCACGCACAAAAATTCCATTTTTACCTTCGTCCTGTTGAACATGGAGTAGAATGTTGCAACTTCGTAGACCCGGATGCTGGGAACTCCAATGATCTCAGCAATCTGTTTCGACAGTTCTAATGGAACCAAAGAGAAAAAAAGAAGAACTCTACCTTGTTCATCGCTGAAACTGGAAGCCAGCCTCCGTGCTGCTGCTGAGCGAGATCCAGCAGTGGAATCACCGCGGACTGCTTATAGTTAAGTGGATAGTGAGACATGATTTCTTTTGCCTAGAAGGAGGAAGAAAAAAAATCGTCAACCCAAGCTTAGAAACGATGAAAGATCTTCCATACCTTGTCCATGTTTGCTTTCGTAAACTCAAATGGCGTGTTTTCATTGTTGTCTTGGCTGTTTATATGCTGATAGAGAAAACAAGGACGAAGCAAGGGAAAGAAGAAAGTAACTTAGCAGTGAGAAGTAGGAAGAATAGACAGACTTACAAGATTTAAAGCAGTGGAATAGAGCCTAGCATCCCGAAAACCCTGTCGTTTCAAAGGATTTCGTGAGAAAAATCTCCCAGGGCTTGAAATCGCGAGGAGATTCTCGATGCGTACCTGGAGGAGCGCGCGTGGACGAATCGATGAGGGAAAAATTCTTCGCAACGCCTGCATTGCTCCAGGCAATCGAGCTCCAAAACTGCCCTAGACTCTCTCCCTATAGTTCTATTTCAATTATAAAGGATTAGCCCAAAAGCCCTAAAACCCTGTTTCTATAGGGCTCGCCCATGGCAATGGTGAGAATTGCTCCATTTTGCTCGAGGAGCGGCAGCTCCGCCTGGATTTCGCGCTGGGAATCGCCAGCGCCGCGGCGCAGCAGCAGCATTCGGTTCGCCATCCGAGCAATGGCGGCATCGGCATCGCACGAATTCGACTACGACTTGATCACTATTGGCGCTGGAAGTGGCGGCGTGCGAGCGTCGCGATTCGCTGCCAATTTCGGTGCGCGAGTGGCCGTCGTCGAGCTTCCATTCGCTACAATCTCGTCGGACGAGGCAGGCGGCGTCGGTGGCACGTAAGTTTTCTAAATTTTTCTTTCTCGTGTGTGTGGATTTGAGCTCCGGAAACCATCTTTTCGTGTTGCTCCTTTTGATCTTGCCTGCATTTCCTTGCAGCTGTGTTCTCCGAGGCTGCGTTCCCAAAAAGCTGCTGGTTTATGGATCCAGCTTCGCCCATGAGTTCGATGAGAGCAAAGGATTTGGATGGTCGTATGATTCGCCACCAAGGCACGACTGGAAGACACTGATGAAGAACAAGAACACGGAGCTCCAGCGCCTTATCGGAGTCTACAAATCGATCTTAAGCTCGGCCGGTGTCACGCTCTTGGAAGGCCGTGGAAAGGTTCTTCCTTTAACCTCCTAAGTATGCTTTTCTTGTTTTCCTTGCTTCTTGTCAAAGCTAAAAGCTTGTGTTCTCTCTCTCTGTTTTTTCTTGTCCCCGATTTCTTTTCAGATTCTCGACGCTCATACTGTTCAAGTCAGCGGCAAAGAGAAGTACACTGCAAAATACATACTAGTGGCAGTGGGTGGACGTTCCACGGTTCCCGACATTCCTGGCAAGGATTTCGTCATCACATCGGACCACGCGCTGGATTTGCCTGCAAGGCCAGAAAAGATATGCATTGTTGGTGCTGGCTACATTGCACTGGAATTCGCGAGCATTTTTAACGGGTTCGGCAGCGAAGTCCATGTCTTTCTACGTGGTCCTAAGGTTCTCCGTGGATTTGATGACGAGGTAACCGTGCTCTTCCCGCTGCACTGGCGTACTAGATATTGTGATGCAGATCCGGGATTTCGTGGCCGATCAGATGGCAGCGAAAGGAGTGAAGTTCCACTTTGAGGAGTCACCGGAAGCTGTAGAAAAGTGTCCGGACGGTTCGCTCCTTCTGAGAACCAACAAAAGTACGGAGAAGACAAAATGTGTGATGTTTGCAACGGGGCGTGCTCCCAATACGAAGGTCTGTACAACTTTCCCGCGGGCGCTGGCTAACAAGTTTTCGTGTGCGCAGAACCTGGGACTCGAAGACATCGGGGTCCGTCTCGGAAAGAATGGAGCCATCATGGTATAGCTTCAACTCGCTTGTTTTCTTGCCTATCCTTTTCTTTGCTGGTTTGTCGACAGGTAGACGAGTACTCAAAGTCAAATGTGGACTCGATTTGGGCCGTGGGGGATGTAACCAACAGAACGAACTTGACGCCTGTGGCTCTGATGGAGGGCATGGCATTTTCCAAGACGGTGTTTGGTGATCGTCCTACAAAGCCTGACTACAAGTAAGTGTCGAGCTCGTTTTGGCTGCTAGCTGATGCAGTTTGGCTGTCACAGCAACATTCCGTCCGCAGTCTTCACACAGCCTCCTATTGGGACAGTTGGTCTTACGGAAGAACAGGTGATGTTTTTTGGCAACCAGCGTGCCGGCTGTTTCACGGACACGGCTTTTGGAACTTTTTTGACGATGCAGGCTATCAAGGAATTGAGAAATATCGATGTGTACACATCCTCGTTTCGTCCGATGAAGGCAACGCTCTCCGGTCTTAGCGACCGAACCTTTATCAAAATGATCGTGGATTGCGCTACCGGCAAAGTTGTAGGAGTGCATATGTGTGGAGAGGATGCCGGGGAGATTTTGCAGGTTGAAGTATAAGTTGCTCGATGCGTCTGAGGCTAAGATATCCTTTTTCTCTTTTGGAGGGGGTTGGAATCGCGGTGAAAGCAGGCTTGACAAAGGATCACTTCGACGCTACCGTTGGAATCCATCCGACTTCTGCCGAAGAAATTGTTACAATGAGATCACCAACAAGGAAGATCCGTGAGGATGCCGAGGTATGTTCTCAGAGACTCTCGTCTTGAATAATCTCAAACTCTTTTCGATCAGGTGAAAGACAGAGACCAGACGACAGCTAGTGGATAGATTGCTCTACACTTCTCGGGTAAATGTAGAGCAATCCTTTCCACCTCGGTGGTTTTCTTTTTTTCTTTTTTGCTTTTACGAAGAGATTTTTGCGATAAATGCTTCCATGTCTGGAAACAGCTGCTTTGTTTGTCGACGAGACAAGAGACACCGCATGACGTTTTGTTTTTGTCAGAGCTTGCACAAGCGAACGAGCGCTTTTTATTGACAATCCTGGATCGGATCGGTATGTTCTACTTGTATCGCTCCTTGTGGATCTCTCTCACCTGATTACTGACTTGCAGATTGTCGTGTGGATCGATCAAAAGTTCCTTGTAAGATAAAACTCAAGTTTTTTTCTTTTCACTCGTGAGTTCCTCGATTAAGGAGGATGCCATGGATGAGAAATTGAGGTAAAACCAAAACTAGACAGCTGGTTTGTCATGGTAAGCTGACGACGATCCTGCAGGGCAATAAACATCTCGCGTTCGCAGTGGCCTTTGTTTTCATTCCCGACTGGTTCGTTTCCAGAGTTTGTCCGTGTGTCTGGTATAAGAACTCTCTTCATCTACACACACGGTACGTAAGCTTTCTAACTCCACTTGTCTTTCATTCCTCGCGCAGGGATCTTTGGAAAGCTCCCGCAGCGGTGATCGATGGTGTCAAACGTGTTTGCAATCGCCCAAAAAAGTGAGCTTTGTCGATGCCCACCTAGTGATCTTTCGTTGTCACTGGCGACACCATAGTTTAATCCAGGCAAATAACGTATCGACGCAAACACACACTGGCGTCAATCGACACGATCGCGCGAAAATGATCCAAAGCTCTTGGTATGCTTGTCACGAGGGATATGCGGTGGGATATTCGTCCCCTCAGATTCGCCGCACGCGGCGGCATCTGAGGCAAACACGTGGCGCGCACGCGGTGGCTGACGTGGCGGTGCCCACGCTCCCTTGCAGGTCCACCGGCTGGAACCGGTTGGCGGGACAAAACCCTGGGGTGAAAAACCAAACTTCTTACCCGCTGGGTAACAAATTCCACCCCAATGTTGACGCCATAGCCGGGTCTGCGAGGAAGCGATTTCCAAAATTTGGCAAGTGTGGGGGCGATCTCTTGGCATATTTGGAAGCTCGCGAGGAGCATTGGCGAGGGCTAGATCGTCGCGGCGGGGGCGAAGAAATCGCGAGCGCCAGCGATTTGGCGGGGGCGCTGCTACTATGGAGGAGGATTCTTTTCGTTTCCAGGGCTGGGGGATGGCGACGGCGATGGCGATCACAAGGCGCGATTTCTTCGTCAAGCTCAAGCAGCGGCAGCATTCGAGGTTGAAGTAGGGGAGCTCACAATCTTTGGCTCTTTGTTCTTCTTCTTGGATCTTTTTTCTATCTCCCAATCTCTCCCTCTCTTTCTCTATCTCTCTCCCTCTCCCTCTCCCTCTCTCACTGCCTAGTTCGCTCGTCGCCTGTCGACGCTCAAGCACAGCGGTGAGTCGGGTTCTTTGATTCTCATTCTTGCGGATTTGGTGCTCATTCCTCTCGAAATTTCGCTCTCCAGAGATGCAATCAGGGGATTCGGATGGGCAATTAGCAGCAGCTGCTGCCGCCGCCGCCGCCGCCGCCGCCGCTGGTGCTGGTGCTGGATCGTCGTCCGTGGCTGGAGTTCCATGGTGGGGTGGAGTCTGCCATCTCCCACAGCAGCCTTCTGCAGCTCCCGATAAGCAAGTGGTAGCGTCTGCCGCGCACAATTCCACCACAGGTGTGTGCCGAATTCTTCCTTCCGGTGTGGAATTCTCTCTTCTTCTTTTCCTTCTTTCTTTTGCTCGTTCTTGCTTGCGTTAATCTTTTTGTCCTAACCATGGTTTCATGTTTGAAGCTTTCTAGTTTTAGAGTTAAGAGAGCTCGTGTACTGATGCTGAATGCATCGCAAGGTTTTGCAGCAGTTCTTCTTGCAGTATGTACTTTAGGACTAAAGATCTTTGTTCCTTTTCTTTTGAAGTTGCTCCTCGATTGCTGTTCTAAACTTTGTTTTTTGGGTGTTCCTCCTGGTTTCTTGCCTTCGTTTCTTATACAGGCTATGATGAGAATGGTGGCGATGAGGCGCAGCACCAGCAGGCACAGCAGAATCCAGCGCTGGCCGGGCTTCCACCGCCTCCTGGCGAATATGTAAGTTGCTTTACGTCTCCTATATATCTAGTGTTTAAACTTGTAGAACTGGTTTTCATAGGTGCAAGCCGCGTATCCATATTCGGACCCCTTCTTTGGTGGTATGATGGCGGCGGCGTATGCAGGCCAGGGCTTAGTAAGCTATAGAACTGTGGATTTGTTGGATTCAAGGTTGAGCTTTTGTGGTTTGTTTGTTTCGCAGGTCCAACCTCATGTACTTGGGCTCCAGCAAGCTCGCATGCCACTTCCAACGGAAATTCTCGAAGAAGAGCCGGTTTATGTCAATGCGAAGCAGTACCACGGCATCCTTCGCCGCAGGCAAAGCCGAGCGAAAGCCGAGTCGGAGAACAGACTGATCAAAACTCGCAAGGTTGGCAATCTTAGAAAAACTCTTTGTTTCGTTTTTCCTTTTCTTTCTTTTCTGATCAAACTTTGGAAACTTTGAACAGCCTTACCTACACGAATCCCGGCATCTCCACGCCTTACGGAGAGCTCGAGGCTGTGGGGGCAGATTTCTCAACAAAAAGACCAACAAAGACAGCGAAACCGAGACAACGATGACAAACGTGACATCTAACACTTCCACCGGCAGCCGCAACCGCAACACCACCAACATCAACGCTCCCAGCAATCGATCTGAGAGCTTATCATCGGTAACCACAGGAAACCTGGAAGCGAGTAACGCCTACCATCACGTAATGGCATTCTCGAACGGCCACCATAGCTTGCAACAGGACTCGCAGCTGTTCCACGCTTCGGCATTCCATCCCATCTCCGGCGATGAAGGAGTCCAAGCAGTGGCAGCAATGCAATGAGAAGAGATCCATCCAACTTTCGAGAAGTTCGACGAAGACTGTCTCTGAGCTGCGCTAAGAAGAAGGAAAAAAGAAAGAAAAAGAAGAAATGAGTGTCAAGTTCTAGGAAAACGTAGAGAAGAGAGGAGGAGTTTAGTTTGATCCTTTTGTTGTGGCGTGTATAGATTATTGACGCAAGCACAACACGATGGTGATTATTTTATGCTGTGTTTGCGATTCCACTTGGCAGCCAGGAACTTTGTCTAGTTTTTGGTACGGACGCTCTCTTCTACGGCGCTTCGTCTTCCTAGGTCAGAGTCAAAAATATCCATCTAGTATTTGAAACTATTTTCTTCAAAAAAAATTTCAAAATTCATTTTTTTAAACGAATAAATTATTTCTAAACCTTTATGTATGACGTGTAAGAATACGGGATAAAAAAGAAATTCCTTTGCACGTTTTTTTCCAATTCCCAAAACAATGCACCTTTATCTTACAAATCCGTATTGGAACAAAGTTCCTCTCAAGCTTCCGTCAAGTTTCATCTCCCAATCAACGAATGCGGGGCAGACGAAGTCCCGGACGACTGCGAGGAGATCGAGAACGCAGTCGAGGAGGAGGTGGCGGTCGCGCTGCCAGACGAGGAGGCGGCGGAGGAATCCATCGCCACCTTGGGTGGCGGCGGAAGCAGCACCGCCAAATTCCCCTCCAGCATTTGCACCACCTTACTCATCACCGGCCTCGCACTGGCCACGTCCTGTATACACCAAAACGCCGCCTTCACCACCCTCTCCAGCTGCACGCCGTCAACGTCCGCGCGGTACATCCGCTCGTCCACCGCGCCCTCGAGCCGCCCGGCCTCGAGCTCCCTGTAAAGGTAAGCCGGGTACCGCTGCATGCCGCGCGGTACCGCGCGGCACGTGTCGAAGTTGCGCCGCCCGCCCACCAGCTCCAGCACCACCATGCCGTAGCTGTACACGTCCGACTTGGCGGTAATGGGCATATTCGCCAGCCACTCCGGCGCCATGTAGCCACGTGTCCCGCGCACAGTGGTCAGGTTGCGTGCGTTGCCCTCGTCGATGAGCCGCGCCAGGCCAAAGTCCGAGACCTTGGGTGCGAAGCTATCGTCCAGGAGGATATTCTCTGGCTTGAGGTCGCAGTGGACGATTGGCTCGCGGCATTCCTCGTGGAGATAGGCGAGAGCCCTAGCGGTGCCCAGCGCGATCTTGAATCGCGTCGGCCAGTCCAGCGATGGCCGCGCTCCCTGGTAAGAATCGTCCTCGTCTTCGCCGGGCGCGAGTGGTCTTGACGATGTCGATAAGCTGGTGGATGTAGTGGCGCTGGATCTTGCCTCCTGGGCGCCAGATCGTGAGAGATTGCTGGATCGCGACGGCAATGCTGCTGCCTGGCCTCCAGACTTCGAAATATCGCTGGATTGCAACGAGAATGGCCGCGACGCGTCGCTGGATTGCAATGCTGCTGCCTGGCCTCCAGACTTCGAAATATCGCTGGATCGCAACGAGAATGGCCGCGACGCGTCGTTGGATTGCCAGGATCTATCTTGGCCCCATTCCAGGTCGTGGTCGTGGTGGAAGAGGAAGCGATCCAGCGATCCATTGGGCAGGAACTCGTAGACGAGCAATCGCGTCTCGGCTCCCTCGGCGCAAAATCCCACCAGGCGCATCAGATTCATGTGGTGCGTGCTCCCGATCGTCGCTACCTCGGTCCGAAACTCCTTCTCCCCCTGGAAAATCCCCTCGAGCTTCTTCACGGCTATGGCGGTCTTGCTCACAGGGAGCGCGATGGATCCCTTGTACACGGGGCCAAATCCTCCCTCGCCAATCCTCGTCTGGAAGTTATACGTCGCGTTCTGGAGCTCCTTGTACGTGAATCTCATCGGCGCGCCAGAGGCATAGTCCAGGATGGCGTGCCGCGCGGCTTCCTGGACCCGTCTCGAGTACCGCCGGCGGTACACCGCCCATCCCACCGCCAGCTCCGCCAGCACCAGCGCCGCCACTGTGACGCCCACGGCAATGCCGATTGCCCGCCCCTGATTCGACGATCCCGGCTCTGACAAGACCGATGTGGGTGGAGAATTCGCGGCCGAGGTACACACCTTGAGGAAGGCGGTGGATCGGATCGAGGGCGACGAGTAGCCGCTCATGGACGTGGATCGAAACTGGACACAGTGGCCGGATCCATCGTTTGGGACGAGGCAGCCAAAGCAGCTGGAATCGCCGCGGCAATTGCTCGTGCACTGCTCGCTGTTGCTGTTCGATGTCACGGTGGATCCACTCTCGAGCCAAGCGGTGAAGTTCGTCGCGATCAGCTGGTTGCTCTCGGTGGCACAATCGCTGGCCACATTCCCGGTGTTGGTGCATCCAGCGTTACGCCGGCTGGGATCCACGAAGCCCAGCCCAGTCGGGCAGTCGCATACCGTGCGGTACACCAGCGGTGCCTGGGACGCCACCGCGCGGTACGAGCATATGCCGTAGTTGCCACAGTAGTTGTACACCTGGCACTGGTCAGACACCGCCTGCCACCGCGCGGACCATACCGCCTCGATTAGAGTGTACAGCCGGAGGTTGCCATCGTCGTCCAGCGTGAGGCGGCGGCTTTGCCCTGGCCCATAATCCTCCGGGAAGAACTGGCGCACTGTGGAGGTGGCGTTGAGATTGAGCACGCCATTGACATCCACCACCGCATTCGTGGGAATCGAGGAATTTCCATTCCCATCGGTGTCGCTGCTCCAGTACTGCGCGCTTCCCCAGCGAAGCGTGAGATTGCCCGATTGATCCATGGCGAGGCTGTAGCCGCCGGCGCGCGAGGTGAGATTGCGGCCCCTGGAGAGGAATTGGCCGGGGAGGAGCGTGCTGCTGGGATGATCGAAGCTGCTCCACACGACCTGGCCGCTGGAGTTCCGGAGCGCGAGATTACCTGATTCTTGGAGCTGCCCGGACGAAGCCCCAGTGGCGCCGCTCGTCCACGATGTGATGCTGGCGCCGTCGCGCACCGCCAGGGATCCATCGCTGGAGAGCTCGAGGATTGCGCCGGGGCGTGACGCCGGGGCGGCAGTGTCCCACACCAAGACTTGCTGCGGATCCGCGCGGTACCAAATCCCTAGCTCGAATTCCCCGGGGCTGCGCGGCGATGGCGCAAATCCGAGGGAGAAGCTGCCGCTGGAGACCGATGTTGCCGCGCCCGCGGTGGCGATCGTTTGCCCTGACGCGAATTGGTCCTGCGCGAGAGAGGAGGGGAGAGAAGAAGAGATCCAGAGTATGGCTATGGCGGAGGAGAGGAGAGCATCCACCATTCTTTCTTCCTCCTCGTGCTCTCACTCGAATTCCATGGTGATGATCGACTTACGTTAGGCTATTGTATGTAGCTTGTCGCGATACACATTCAAAGACTTTGGGCAGCAGCGCGTTTTTGTCTCATTTTTTTTCCGTTCGTTCACACCTTTGATTGATAAATGAAGGTTTAGGGCTTTTCGGGTTTTAGGGTTCTTCGATGCCGGGATGGAGGGCGCACTGCCCGGGGCGATTCCGTGGCCTGCGCCGTGGAAGCTTCGTATCGCTGGCTGGAGCAATCAACCCGCGAGCGACGAATGCGCTCCATTTTCATCGATTTTGCGTCAGATGCGTGTGGACACACAACGAGGTCTGTTCGAGTGGGATGGCTTTAGTCCAATCTAGCACGGTCCGAATGCAAGCAATCCCCGAAGGAAGAGCTTTTTCTGTTTTAGCAGGGCGATTGGAAGCCCACGCGATTGAAATGGAGGATTGTGGTTTCGTATGACGGCACTCGTTTCTCTGGTAACACTTTTATCTCTCCTCGGTTGCTTGTCTCGGTGATCGAGAGGTTTGATCTCAAGGGTGGCAGTACCAGCCGGATTTTCCAACCGTCCAAGGATTGATCGAGGATGCACTGACAAAGCTAACGCGTTACACCCGAGAAGAGCTCCTCATGGCGGCCGCAAGTAGGACGGATGCTGGAGTTCACGCTCTGGGCCAGGTAAGTTCATCCTCTTCTTCTCTTCGATCTTTTACAACTACTTTCTCTATCTCTCTCCAGGTCGCGCACTTCCATTCTCCTGCTTGTATCGGCGACTTGAGCCGGATCCATCGGGGCCTAAACGGCACGCTTCCTCACGAGATTCGTGTTCGTGAAATCTCTCCAGCGAAATCTAGCTTTCACGCCCAGGCTTGTGCTCGGACAAAGAGGTACCAGTACAAACTTTTCGTGGCTCCAGTCATGGATCCACTCTTGCGCTTGTACGCGTACCACGTACCTGAGAGGCTCGACGTTGCTGCTATGGCGGAAGCTTGCGGCTACTTCGTTGGGAAGCACGACTTCTCGACGTTTAGCAACTCATCGACGCTCCGGCCCCTGCAAAATCCCGTTCGAGAGATCTTGCGTTTCGAACTGCTGGAGCAGGCAAGCTTGGTTTCGTTTGCTCAAGAATCGGCTTTTAATCTCTTCTCTCTTGTGGCAGGGTCCAGTTCTTTGCTTCGAAATCGAAGGCACGGGATTCTTCCACAAGCAAATAAGAAACATGGTTCGTTTTCTCTTCACTTTCTTCTTGGATCTCAAATTCCTTCGTGGAATTTCGTCAGGTGGGATTGATCGTTGCGATTGGCAAAGGAGAGCACCAGGCTCGAGTGATTCCAGAGCTCTTGGCTATGAAAGATCGCCAAAAACTAGCTAGAGTTTCTATCACTGCTCCCTCCCGAGGACTCACGCTTGTCTCCGTCCACTACGACCAAAGCGATCTTGACTTGCCGGAAAATCTACTGTGTAGAAAGTAAAACGAAGAATATGCTTCGACTTTTTGAAAGTTCTTGACAATCATGGTTAGAAGGCGCCATTGAAGAGCGCCAGCGTCGCAACCCAATTCACCCCTTCTCGATGCAGCCATGAAGTAGCGCCTGGCTGGAAGGTTGTTGGGGCTGATCGCGAGGATTGTTCTTCTTCTGGAATCGAAATCGACATCGCCCTCGACATCAGATGAATCGATCGCTACTCTCGACGAGCTTCCAGGGGAAGGAGAAGATGCTGACGAGCGAGACGAGCACTCCAGCGCTTCTAGCGGTCCAGAGGAGATCTTGCCTGAGATTGACAAGGGTATTGGCTGGAGCGATCATATTGGCGGGGTGAGGATGGCGAGCACGATGCTGATCGTGGCGATGATCAGTGCCGCCAGCACCGATAATGGGAGAGCTGGATCGTAGATGACGACTGTGGCGAACGTCACAGCCAGGCCCACGAAACTAAAGGCCGCCATCATCAGCGGGAAGATGGGTTGGTTGATCGCGCTGGGAGTGCGTGTATCTCGCGAATTCTGGAAGAAGCAGTAGATCTGGCATACAAATTCGAGGGAGGAGAGAAAAAAAAATCGAGCGCAAACGAGAACTTCCGAAATATCCTCGAAAAGAACTTGGCTACTCCCTTTGTGTGCAATCCTCTACTACGTGCGGTTTCTAGATCTCCATCAGACACAGAGATTCCTGTAGTTCTTACGTAGTGCATGTCGCCTATCACTATCACAAACGAGCCAAGGTGTTAGATCCTCAGGGGGTTTCTGGAAAGATGCCGACTGGGCCACGGCCTGGAGCAGCTCGTCCAGCCCCCTAGCCGTATCTCTGCAGCTTCATTCCTGGGAACTGGTTGATCATTTATGGTACAGGATCAGTGGTGGCTTGTTTGACGAGACATCAGCTATCTACAAACACGTTTCCGAATGGAAGGTGTTCTTCTGAGACATTCAACTTGGGTGACGATGCGGCTGGGCGCTGGACCGCTTTCGGGGATGGCTTTGTGTGACAGCCAGGCTTTGCTTGTCCTGCTCGGGACGATCGGACCTGAGAAAGGAAGAATATGCCGCAAAATGGCATTGCATCGAAGGTAGTTATTGTAATTCGAAGAGAAAAGCTCCACGTCTATATAACGCTCGTACGGATGGCTTTCTAGATCGTGACTTAGGATCTCAAACTCTTGGAATTTAGATAAGCATTTGCAGCGGACGAGGACAATACAAGACCGACTTCCTTTGTTTCTAAGCTATGATCTTCATTGTCCCGAGCGATTGCTAGTCTTCACATGGTCAACTTTTGTTGAAGTGTTTCCTGGTTGTTTAGACTGAGACGCTGTGCAAGATGGAAGAGTGTGGAACCAATTGTGGCCTAACTGCCGAGAACTGAAATCTCGGCATAGAAACAAGCTTTGAAAGGTCGGAGGAGAGACTACAGGAGCAGACTTGGTATAGATTTAGATTCGGACAGGTCCAACCAGCCTCAAATATCAAGTTCAAGGGTATCTGATGTGTTCGTGCTTGATCACAGTGTACTCCAAGTTTGAGGCAAGCCACAATCAAGAGCTCGGGTGGCAAAGCCGGATCTACTTTCCTGGAACGCGGATATCCGGCTACGTCGACAATGAGGTTGCTCTAGAACTCTTATGAGGTGGGCGCCCTCGGTACTCTCGGCCCTGGCATCCACAGAAGCTGGAGAAACAATCGGTCTCGCTGGAGATTCGTACGGAAGACGGTGGATTGCGAACGAAGTGACGTGAATTGCCACCTTCTAAAAGTGTGATCAAGCTGGAGTCTTCCTTAACATTCTCTACTCCATCCTTCTAGGGAGTTGCGTAGTTCCCGCAGACGACACGTACACCAGCCATTTACCACATATGCATATGTTACGTATTAATACAAGTAAGCCGCAGCGAAGTGTTTATTTGTAGCGTATTTACTCAAAGTAAGTAAAAATGGTTGACGCGAGGCAATATCAGGTGGAAACACAATAAGACAGATTTTTCTTTCCGTCATTTCTCCAGGATCCGTCCTCTCTGTTGTTTTCACCCCCTGCATCTCTAGATAGAATGCCGAGGAGCAAGCAGCAGGCATCGCGGGCATCGTCCGTGTCTGATCAGATCGATCAGGAGCGCAGGGAGATGCGCCTGGAGATTAAGGCCTTGCATGTGCATCACAGAAGTATCTTTCTCTCTCTCTCTTTGCTCACCTCGATCGTTTGTTTTCGTTTTGCTGCTTGCAAGCACACTGACATAGCAATCGTTCTTCCGTGCAAGGTCAAAGGAATAACATCAATATCTCTTCGGAGCCAGCGCCGCCGAGGCCCGTAGGCGTGCAGCAACGATGGGAGCCAAACAGCTACCAGCTGCAAATCTTGGAGGAGTTCTACGCCAAAGCGACGCCACCATCGCCGGAGAACATCGCCAATATAGCCGAGCTCGTCGGCCAGGTCGACCATTCCAAAGTGTACTACTGGTTCAGTAACAAGAAGTCCCGCGAGAAACGCAAGCGCCGCCGCCTTGAGGAGGCCGGCGCATCCGCCTCTTCCTCTCCTGCGTTTTCCGCCATCGCCACCACCGCCGCTGCTTCATCCGGTAAATTACCTCGCGCGCCGCTTCAGAGGAAGAATGGATCATATCTTTCTCTTTTTCTCTCTCTTTTGGATCCATCCCATCGTTCTTTCTCCTGATCGAGAAGTCTGAGAGCAAGCAGCCGTACCATTTTTTTTCTGTGCAGGGTCGGAGCAATCGCACCATCAGTCGTACGCTGACCAGATCGTGAATGACGGTAGTTTTCTCCCAGGTAAGCTCCTTGGATAGTTCCTTCACGAGCTCTTTTTTTTCTTTTTCTTCAGATGCGTGCCTGTTTGAAACCAACGTGACGCTGGAGCAGCCACGAATCGTAAGTAAGACGAAGGAGGGATATGCCTGACCATATTCTTTTTTTGTTTCTAGATTCCGTCGCACGAAGAAGAATCGCCATTGCAGTTGAGTCTCGGTTGGAGCTTTGCCAACCTGGACGAGCACTGGGAATTCTCATGATCCATTCTTCAAAAAGAATTGTTGATGATATCTTAACCAAATCTTTTTTATCGTTGATCCAGTGTTTTGATAGATCGGACTCTAAGACGGTTGTCGCCGTTAGGTGATCCGGCTCTGGCCATGGAGTTCGTCTTCAATTGTGGCGCTGGCGGTCGATCTTGACATCGATAACATGCAGCAGGCTTCCAAGGCGGCGATTATATTTGCTACTGATGATTTGCATGTCTTTGCTTGCACTGTAGGGAAATGGAAACTAGACGATTATCGAAACGTCCTTCTAAGTAGCACATTCTGGCCGAAGATCTAGACAGGCACCGCTGAAAGACAAAACATTCTGAGACAGTGTGTTTCATGCTGCACGTGGTGTCATTCGATCATATGTGAGGTTAAACTGTTGTGGTATTCTTTCAAGGCAACCAAGTGCTTGAGACCATGCTCTACTTGGACAGCATTGATTCCAGCAAAGATCTCTGTCCTGCTAGATTTGAAACGTTTGCTTCTGTTTCTAGGAAGTTCGGCATTCCAAGGCATAAAGAACGCATGGAGCAGCTGGAAGATCACCCCTGGAATTCTTCATGATCCATTCTTCTGAAATGTT